CTCCCAGTGATATGAGGCCGCGGACGCAGGCATGCGGTAGTAACGCGAGACATCTGCGGTCACATTGAGTGACAGGCCACCGAGGCTGGCTTTGGAATACCACTCGGCTGCTGGCTCCAGGAAATCGCGTAGGTTTGATGGGGGATCATTGGAAGGCGCCGGTGCATCTGAAAAATCGACAAATATCATAAAGGCGTTTAGTGTCCCGGTCCCGGAGACACAGTCATTGGGGAAATCGAAGCCGACGCTCAAATGAACATCACTGCGTCCTGGAAGCTTGCAAGCTTCAACCGAAGGTTTAATTATGGGAGGACTGGGTGTACTGTCCGGAGGCTGGGGGGTTGTTGTTGTCGTCGTTGGGCGAGATCCGCAACTTCTACCCGCTACGGCAGCCGCTAGGGTAAAGAGTCCAAAGATTGTGTTTCTCATCTTGATAAGTTCTCAAAGTTGTTGAAGTTGTTGAAGCAAATTGCGGTTAAGATCAAAGGGTCTCATGGACTCTTATATATACAATACAACCGTTCTATTGCTTCACTGATCACATTGCTTTTTACAATATTCTATCGTCCTGCTAAGCCACTTCAGCTTCAGCTTCAGCTTCGGGATATAGTGACTCAGCCATGCAGGTAATAAGCGGCGAGGTAAGCGGGGACCTGAGCTACGATGGGCAGTTTTGGTGGTGGCGCACGGACAACAAGCGGTGACCTTGCGTTTCATCATATTCTTTTAAACCAATAATTGTCCATCGTCAAGCTGGGGCTAACAATATTTTTGACGAGCTAGGCTATTGTGAGAGTCCGGAGTAGATGTCGGCGAAGTCAGTCGGCGAGGCCTAATTTCAGCTGGGGAATGACCTGCAGGAAAATGCAGCTAGAGGACTGGATTCTCGGCCTTTGTGGAGAGTAAGGCAGATTTCTCCCTGTTGTCTCTTACATTTCACTTTGCATTACGAGGGTAGAGGGGCCAGCTGACGGCTTTGGAGATTTCTCCAGCCAATTATTTTTTATATCCAATGCCCTCTGAAGCCACCTAGATACTGTGTCTCAAAAAATACGAGGGCCCGGGCATTAATTTAATCATAGCATAATTAATCCAAGCTCGAAAAAAACTAGAGCTCTTATCTGGGATATTAATTAAGACTTGGTACGTAGTATTCTGGAATGCGTCCATCGTGCATAAGATTTTGGCCCAATTCATTTCAGATACAGAATAAAAAATCAATTAAAGGCCTCGATAAAAGCCTTCAAGAAAAGAACTTGGATAAAATAATATCAGTACTAATATTTCGTGTATCGTCCGCAAGAATATGTTGAATAATAACATATAGCAATATATGGCCAACCGCTCTGTCCTACAATGTTGTAAACTTAAGCCTTCTATAATCCAAACCATGAAGGGCAATGTTCTGCTAGTGATTCCTCTACCAGGCCCATCAAAAGCGTATTGGGGATCCAAATGCTCATCAAGATATTTGAGTCGCATTGCGAAAACATGTAGCCTGCACAATGATCCCAGTGTGTCGCTTCCAGGAACAAGGGCGATAAAGTTTAAAACAGGAGAGAAGTCTCCAGCCATGGTAAACTCTTGCTCCTTGCCATTATACACCTGCCATTGGCCAAAGGTCGCTCAATGGCTCTGATGCGCGCCAGAACCACATTGTATATGCCAATCATACAAAAGGGTAAATTCAAGAGAGCCCATGGAAGTTCCCCTTGCATCATACACTCTAAAAAATTCGGGTTCTTCTGCTATCTTCCAAGCTTCGCGATTTGATGTAGTCTTGCAGTAGCCACAGGGTGACTCCAGTGACGGCGATTTTCCCACTCTTTGGGGCTTCAATGTTTCTCCATGCAGTATCAATCTGATAGATCCGAACAGACAATAAAAAATCTAGGCGTTGTCCCGTTTTTAAGCTCCTTGCTGAGTTTATAAATTGTTTGAAGGGCCGGCGTGGGTATCACCTTGTTCAGTTATTGTCTAGCATGAATCTCCTGATGCAAATTCAAGCACAAGTGAGGGAGTGAGGAGGATAATTTGTTGCTCATTGAGGCATGTAGGGAACAATGCACCCTTCAGGGATGATAAATAACCAAAGATGATACAGGCAGTCTTATGAACCAAGCTCAGGAAGGGTATTTTCAACGGGGGGGAATGTTGAGATTGCATTTAGTGCAATAGCCATGTTTGACTATAGTAGTGAATTCCCTCAAGATGCTGTATGCAGGCTGCATGCAGCTGCCAAACCGCCAACCGTCTGTATTGTCAATACATGATCTCTAGAGAATGTATTGCTCGCCGAACTGTATCATGTAGTGAAAAAGCAGGCTCCTGTAGGTACCATCTAAGGCATGCCGTGGTAGACTGAGCTTTTAGACCATAAAGCTTTGTTCACTTATTAACTAGGTACTGGTCCAATATTTTATCTTCTCTTTGCGGTTTTGAACAACTACAGTATTGTCCATAAACCGGGTAACCAAGTTACATGCTTGTTCGGCATTCAGATATGCCAATATTCGGTCATACTTGTCGTGACCTTGAGAGTGTGTACTTGCGGACATGTGCTGTCTTTCGATTTTGGGAGAGGTGTGTTCGATAAGTTGCTCAAAGAGGGGGCGTAAGTCATTAAAATTAGCGTGTGGGATTGTCTCCTGGAGAAACCCTCGTAGGTCAAAAACATCGACATCTTCAGACTGTAACTCTGCATCTCTTCTGGCACGATTTTGTGCCAAAATCTTTCGTTTCGGGCGTATAAAGGCGCAGTGGAATTTCGTGGTGACGTTTTTATCGGTAGCAACCGCTTCCAAGTCTAGAGATTCTGGGAAGGATACCGTGCGAGTTAATAGCACGGTCCACTGACCCGGGACAAGGTCCCTCATTTCGGAGTAACGGCCACTCAATCGAACAGAGCGGAAGCTAATTCTGCTGAAATTGAATATGTCCGCTGGTAGAACATTGATTTCCCCGATTTCCCCATCTGATAATGAGGATGAACTGGCTGCAAAGCACATGGCGGCATCAAATCCGCTGGTATTATCAAACGAGGCACGCAGCCCCATCATGTTTCTCATGTACCGAAACAGGCCTGTGATGAATCTCGTTGGGCTAAGAAAGGCGTCTCCAAGGAAAAAATATTCATAGGGCCACACCGGCAACACCTTATCCACGGCGCCTTCTTTTCCATGGCTCACCAGTAACTGAACGATCGGGAAGGATTCAATCAGAGGCGGAGCCGCACTTGTATCTGGAAAGAGCTGGCCCGAACGAGGTCGAAATGGACGAGACATGAGGCTAGACATGACTAATCTATTGATTTTTGGTTGTTGGGATAATATGGTGAAGTCTGTGCTTATACTTTTACTAGAGTCATCGTCTAATCGAGAAGGAGGCTCAAGTAGGTAGATGTTGGGATCGGTGAGGTGTGATAGCGAGGACCAAAGTTCACTTGTTGCCTGGGAGAATTTTGTGCCAGACAGATTGATAGAAGCGACCTGCTCGCGTGATAAAGTCTGAAGGGCACACGATAAACCTGGAGCGTCCAAGTTTACGAATGCTGACCAGTCAAGGTGTTGTTCTCCTTCATAGACAAGACTAAGAAGGGACAAGGATACGGCGGTCTTGCCCACTTCATCCGCCCTTTCGAGGATAGCGTCTCGAAGAATAGGCCGGACATTGGGCACTTGTTGGATGAAATCTGTGATGGGATTGAGGTCGTCCTGGTCATTGTGGAATAGGACAGCATCCACCAAAGCTGCGGCAGTTTGCTGTAAGAGCCCCTTAGGCCCAAGCAGTGGACCAGACTGGTCAGCCGAGTAACCAGCCACATTCCAAGAGACCCAGGGCCACAGATCTTCGCGTAAATGTTAGTTGCTGAAGTGCCATTCAATACGTTCTGGAATAATATTCACCTGAGAGAGTATGGGTCGTGATGAGAGGCACCTTTTGGAGTGATTCTGGAATGTGGATACTCTGTTGGACTATTCTGTCGCTGATCTGGTAGAATGATTCCAGATATTGCCACCCATTAAGGGGTTCATTCACAATGCGTGGTAAGCGTCTGTCGGTTTTTTTAGGCTCTTCTGCTTACTATTAGACTGCGACCTAACGATATCTGAGCGGAGGTTGATTTTACGTGGCATGTTCATAAAGCAATACTTAATACTACCAGGGTCTGTAATATCCAGAATAGTCATGTCATCTTCGGTATCTTCTTGGCCATATCCGACCCCGAAGAGTTCCTCGAACACAACGTCTATCCGGCCATTGTCGCAGTCGAAAGAGCCGCCGACAATGAGACAAGTCGTCGTGAACGGAAATGGACACGGGCGGTGAAATGCATCTGCATTTTCCACTGCGTCTGTTGGTAATGCAGCAGGTGGTGGTTGGTCACGGAAGAACTCTTTGGCAAAGCGAAGCTCTTGTTGGAGTGGAATCCGGTTTTTCGGATGCGAGAAAATTCGGAGGAGCAACAGACAGCGCTTGAGGACTTCCAGGCCAGACAGATTAGGGTTCTCAATAGCCGCCAGCGATCGATAGTAGTTGCCGGCCTTGGCGATGACGAAAATCTGGTGTTTCATCGGGGGCAGCCAGAGCGTGTCTCGCGTACGCGCCCAGGACCTTGTGCGCGTCCTGATAACGGACGCAGAATGAGGGTCTTGGGCAAAGTGGATGAACGAGACGCACGCCAAGGACCTGCGAGGGAGTTAGTGTCGACTTTTGGTGTGATATTTGATTTGATGCGACTTGCTGACTGGCAAATCTGTGTGATGCAACTCCCCACTTGAAGCCGGCCTACCCTAAATACACAGAATACTCCTACTTCAACATAAATGCAATACGGTCGCATTTCCTAAAACCCAGCCTGTGTTGTTCTTATTTTTATTACTACCTGATGATCCAGTTCGCAGCCTAGAGCACGAATCGGCTCGTCTGTTTTAGGTCAATCTGCTGGCTCTATAGCGCAACTCCATATTACTCACAGCGATATGGGTAAGCTTGAGCATTTACCTCTTAAGCCTTTTGACAAGTTCGCCCTCCTCCTCATCATACCTAATAGCCCCGGGCGGTGGCCGCGCGGATTCATATCCAGCCATGAAGATTTTCTGTCGTTCAGCCGCGAAGTTGAAAAGATCGTCACAATACGGAGTAGGCTCTGCTAAATCTCCGTTGTCAGGGTCCCAGTCCTCCCACCAGTCCAGCGGGTAGCGGCCATAAGCGACTTCGCCGTCACGGTTAGTAAATTTCCATAAGTCTGTTTTGTATCCTTTATGTTTGTTTTCTTGTCCGATTTGGAAGACCCAAACCTCTCCACGGTCACTGTCTTCGTGATAGAACCGACTGAAATCCCATCTGGGCGCATTGGCGAGATGGGGCTCTGAAGGGTCTGTCTCATTACTCTCATTTTCCGCTTCAAGCGTCCATTCATGTTTCAAAGCGTCTTCCCCATCGAATGTGAATAGAAACCGAGTAGCACGAGAACCTTCCAGGTAACGATTGAACCGTCTTTGATCAAAGCCCCTATTCCCAGAGTCCAGGACGGGGGTTGTGCCGCTGTTGACGTAGTTGAGAAGTATGTCTTCGGGTACATACATAGAATCTCCAGAGGGACGATTGTCCCAGATTCTTAGAGATAGGAGAGACAGTCTAGGGCACCTCTTGGCTAGCTCGTTTATTAGGTCGAAAGAGACTTTGGTGTCCTGCAAGTACAAATGACGCAGGCTTTCCTCGCTATGCTCGATGAGGGAGAGGAGCTGTCGTCCATACCCTCCAAGGAAGCAAAAGTTGGAAAGGGAGATAGAATTCAGTCGGGACCATTGAGGTATGCCACCGTCATCGATGCGGAGTAGCTTCAACTGTAGCGTGCTGTAATGAAAGCAATCACGCAACTCAAGAGCAAGATGGCGAACATTTCTGCATGCCTCAAGACAAGCTTGAAGGTGAGCGTAATTTTCCTTGCTGTTCTTTGGATTAGCAGAAAGGTGCATTGAAACTAGATTTTGAAAGCCTTGCTTTGATGGCAATGGTCGAAGGTAGCTGGCTCCGTGAGACTCATCGTGCCACAGCAGTCGTGTAATGGGACGATTCTCCAGAGACTCCATGGCAGGTAGCAGAAAATTACAAAGCCCATCGCTCCCAGGGTATTCCCAAGCGCAATATTCCCCGGGTATGGAAAGATGATGGTCTTGGAACACCTTCACCTCGAATGGATATTCGGAACACCAGTGGAGCAGACGATCTGCTGGCATTGCTTGAGAAATGGCAGTGCAGAGGTTGGGGAGAAGTTGCAAGGATTTGCAGAACTCGCCAAGAAACCTATTGATGGCCTTATCACGCCGAATTAGGACAGTATCGCCATTCAAATTCGGCTGGGCGAGGGAGAGGGCTGGGAGCCAAAAAAGTTGATTTGCGAGCAAGTCCAGTGTTCCCATCATGCTTCGAAACTCTCTATCAGGTCCTTCTTTTCCACGTTTCAGATCTGGCAGCTGTGCAAAATACCCAGGGAACCAGGAGATTTCCTGCCACTCGATCTCATAGACATGTTGAGCCAAGTGTGGAGAGTTGCAGATGGTGATGAATCTGTCCCGGTCATGGTAGAGCTGGGAGATGGATATCCGACGAAACAAGATGGAATTTGCGGCGTGAACAAAGGCATGGCAGGTTAGTCGAAGTGCAGCGATATCCTCTTGGTCGAGGGCATCGTCTTCAAAAACAATTCTGAGGAGGATTTCGGGGAGGCTAGTGATGGAAGTCTTAGGTGAAGCCATCATTGAAAGTTGCCGCAGTGCTTAGTCGATGATTTTCTCTGCAAATCGCGAAATAACAGATGATGATGGTGATGAAGTCAAAGGGAAAAACTAACGTGGAAGGACAGAAGAAGAAATTCACGGGTGCTCACTACATCAGGTATTTAAGTACTCACCTGGTGAATGATTAGGTACGTACATGCAGTCATTGTGCACGGCTGTGATTCACCGTCACCCTGGCCAACTGGGTTAACTCCAATGAGACTTCGAGAAAATACATGTCAAACTGGCCTTTCACACAGGTCAATAAAATTAATACGTAAATGATAGAACTCGATAAATGGATTCCTTGTTTCAAGAAGCAAATAAAACCCTTCATATGCAGTTAGCTGGGGTTTAAAGGCTGGCCGTTGGAATAAGAAAATAATCCCAACCATGACTAATTTTAGGCAACAGCACCCCGGTGGCATAAATTTCTTGCATAAATCTACTTGGAAGCGCTATTGTCTAACCAAGTAGAGCATTGGGCGAAGCATTTGTCGCACCAGGCTCAAGTTGCCACAAGGACGACTTAACCATAGAGCAGGGGTTGTCTGACCTTGTTAGCGAAACTCCGCCTTTGCCTAATTGATGATGGTGTATCTTTGTATTACTACTTCATACATTTCCCTCCGAAGGATTCCGGGCAACAGTTACTGGGCCAAAACTAGGAAATCTTGCGGAGTGCGGAGTTTTGCGGTGGAGAGGTGCGGAACAGCTGTTTGGGCTCGAACAAAAGACAGGACGCATCTGCCTCACCACAAATGACACGCGTTCTATTGTATTCTGATACGCTAAAATACGATACCGCAATCATTTGGCTCCCCAAGTTCAGTGCAATCTATTTGACCAAGGTGGCATATATAACAACAGACAGTCTCCCCGGTTGGCTACTGGAAACCTCATCTTTGCAAACTACCAGCGTTGAATACAAGTGCGACCACAATGGCAGGACCACCTCGAAAGTATGACATATTGATACTTGGGGCAACTGGTTATACGGGGAAGTTAACAACACACTTCATCGCTCAACAACTACCCGGTGACCTCCGGTGGGCCATTGCTGGGAGATCCAAGGCAAAGCTCCATGACCTTGCAGCAGAATTGAGAGTATCCCACCCTGACAGGTCACAACCAAGTATGTTTTTTTTTATGCCGGTGGGTTCAGTCCGGTGCTGGATGTGCTGACGTACAAGCAGCCATTGAAATCGTTGACCTGGAACGTAAGGAGCAGGTCGAAGGTGTTGTGCAACAGGCACGAGTGTGCATCAGTGTCGTGTCTTATTGGACCGTCGGAACTACTGTAGTGGACGCGTGTGTCAGGCACCGAACCGATTATATTGATACGTAGGTTAAATCGGGGTTTTTCTCAAGGTTTATGTTCCAAGCTAACAATAGCAGTTCCGGAGACATCCCTCTTATCCAATTCTGGATTAACAAATACCATGAGACTGCCAAAGCGTCCGGTGTAGCTGTAAGTCAATTATTCTTGGACATTAGGAACCGCGGTGACATCTTTCTAATGACTTTCCAGCTGATCCACGCTTGTGGCGTGTTTGCGGGACCCGAGGATCTGCTATCATGGGCGGCAGCCCGTGAATTAAAGGATTCGTTTGGCGAAAGCACAAAGGAGGTCGTCTTAGCAGTAAAGGAACTAACGTAAGTCATATCATTTTTCTTCACTTTGATTGATCCCAGCTAAACTTCAGATAGGTCTGATCCCAGCGGTGGCACCTTTCATTCCATCCTGCAAGGTGAAGCAGACCAACTACAGATCGATCAGGCCCAGGAATCGAGGGATCCATGGTATCTATCTCCAATCAAAGGCACGACAGTATCTCCGCAAACAAACATGTTCCACCTGCGCAAAGACCCCGATCTTGGTCTGCTATCTGACTCTACAGTTGGCATTTTGACGAATCGCGCCATTGTTCATAGGACTTGGGGTCTACTGCAAGGTTCGAGGAGTGAATATGGGCCGAACTTCCAGTATAACGAGTATCAGAGCGTTAAGTCGACATTGGGTGGACTCTCAGAGCTCATCAAGTCAAGTGTTATAGAGACCCTTATGTCCAGTCCGCTTTTGTTGAGGCTATTAAGTCTCTTCATGCCTGCTCCAGGCTCTGGTCCCGATGTCAAACAAGCTGAGAAAATACCTGTCAAACTCCAAGCGATGGCTAAGCCAGAAAATGAGAGCTCCCCGAAAGTTTTTGCGAGCTTTTCCTATCCGTCCGGTTCCTATCACACCACGGCACTTTTTCTTGGCCAAGCTGCGGCATCTTTGTTGTATACTAAATCACTTGAGGGTGGATTAACGGGCGGTTGCCTGACGCCTGCCACTCTGGGACCAGACTTCTTGGAGAGGATCAGATCATCTGGAGCTACAATAACACTTTCATCAACCCGACAATAAGACACAGGTTCGGCGATGATAACTATCTAAACTTGTGTCAATCGATGAATAAAACGTTCTCGTGGTTGGAAGTTAACTTATAGAGTTGTCTAATACGGGCAGGAATGTGGTTTTCATATATTAGTGGTCTATTTCAGTTCGCACAACGTATTCAAGTAACCATCAGTTCCTGTCCATTCACCTCAGGGTCATTCTCAAACCCCACCACTAGTCTTCTCGTTCTCTCTGCTCGTTCTCAGCCTCAATTTTGGCCTGATACTTATTGCTTCGGTGTGAAAACCAGATTAGCAGCCCAATTATCCCAAGTTGCACGACGGAAGTAATCAGGCCGCTGAGAAACCCAGTCTCAAATCTAGGCGCCTTGATGGCCGGAAACTGTAAAAGCTGACTCCAGGCCACAATTGCCTGTCCGATCGCATTCATACTGGCCGTGACCACCGCCCTCTCCTCGGCATCATTAGCCATCGTCACGGTCGCCCATGACATGCTCAGAGGGAACAGACCACCCTCTACACCGGATATCATGAAGGCAGCCAGCCTTCCAGATTCGCCCACATTCCATGCCACCAGCAGTGCATGTGAAACAATCACAGGAATTGTTACGATTAAGAGCATGGGCCAAAACCGTTCAATGCGATCCGCGATAGTGCAGGTGACAAACGCTGTCACGATCGAGATGGCAGTCGCCACCGTCGGCAGCGTATTGATTTGCGTGATGGAGTAGATGTCTGAATTTCCCTTGAGGTATAGACTGAACGGCGTGCCTGAAACCTGATTGTTCTGGTTTCCAATGGACCATAGGGCCACAAATAGATACCAGTGCCATCGATGGAACACGCGGGCAAAAATATCCTTGGACACCTTGAGCTGGGATGGAGCCGTCTGTCCGGCGATACGATCGCAGGCGAGTTTATGCTCCTCCTCGTTTAGGCACCTAGGCTTCCTGCGGTGTGGCACGTCGGGGAAGACAAAGAATCCCAGGAACGAAATCGGGATTGTGATGATGGCATCGACGATGAACAGCCACCTCCAGCCCGACAGACCACCAACGCCCCTGAGGCCACGGTATGCCGCTGTCTGTAGATACCCGGCAAACATGGTTCCTAGAGGTGCGGCAGCGTAGAAAAAGGCCACACGCCTCGCAATCTCTGTCTTGCGCATCCACGAGCCAATCACGTATATGACACCAGTAAAGGAGCATGCTTCAAATAGACCAACGAAAAAGCGCATCGCGTACACCGTCTCAACATTCTTAGCCCAAGCGAGTCCGAATGTTGTGATTCCCCAACCGATCTCGCACAGGGGCAGGACGACGTTGACAGGATATCGTGTTAGGTAGTAGCAGGCAGGAATCATTGATACGCAGTACGAGCTCCAAAACGCAATAGTGGCATAGTTGAGCTCGTTCCCCAGCATGTTCAGCTCCTCCTTCATTCCGCTAGAAGTGGCGATCGACTTATTAGTTACGTGCATTGATTTTACAGAGCCAAACTGAGATGATACGATGACTTACGTGACATAGGCATTTGTGAGCGAGGCCTGGTCCAGATATTTGGTAAAGAAGCAAAGGCAGCCATAAATGAGAATCATCAGGTCCAACTTCAGGACAAGTTTCTTCTCGACTGCGGGCATATCCTTAGGATACCAATGCAGGACTGTCATCAATCGTATCCAGGCATTCTCGTTGACATCCAGCTGGTTCTTGTCTGATTCAATCACGGTGGCAGTGACCGAAGTCAACGGCTGCACCTTCAGCGCGTCTCCCATGGCGAGTGAATTGTAGAGGGTTTTGCCTTGAGTTGAAACAAATTGACTCAGCCCAAAACATCGACCTGGATATAAATGTACGGTTCATTTTGGATTAAGTCCCTTGCAATATCCCCTGTTCAAGGTCGTATTCACGGCGATTGCGCCATCGAACTCCACAATCGCATCTGCTCATCATCAGTCGTCTCTAGCCTTGCAAAGTAATATCGTTTCTCATGTTTTAGGCCATTTCCACATACAATCCATGTCTAGCTTTGGTTTGCTATCTTCCTATTACGCGATAGGCGGGGCTGCAATTCAAACATGTGGGCGCAATCACAAAAAGCCAGCAACCAAGTCGGACTCACATCGGAGCATCTTACCAGACCATCCAGCCTCATACGACCAGAGGGTAGGCCAAACGGATAAACCATAGGGTTTAGCTAAAGATACATGAGAAACTCTAGGAACTGTCGAGTGGAATCATCTTCCAACGCCGAGAATGGAAGCAAGTGGGTGTCAGAATAACAGGGAATGCAAAGGTGTTTCTGCCAACTTTCCAATACAGGCCACAATATTGATAGAAATAGTTGATAATAATGATAATGATAAATTATCAAGCAATTATTGGGCAATATTATCTACTCACTATTGCACCATTGGAAGCATTATAATGTGACTAACTGCCACAGTAATTCTGTCGGTGTGACTTTGCAGTCCCTGTTTTTCTGACAGCCACTTGTGAAAATACGAAAGCCGGGAATTATTCTCCAGAAGTGTCCATCAATAATCAAAAAATTAGTTGTACATAGGCTAGTGAGCCAAAACGTGTCTAATAATGTAAGATGTCTGGTAGAAATAACACCTAGATCACCTGGTGAAACCGCCGGATAGCTTCTGGTTTCTAGCATGATCTACCAATCATCAATTCACTTGCAGGTTTTTGTTGAAAGTAACTGGAATATAGCAAGATGCACTTCATTTCTGCGGAATACCCTTAGGTTTTGCACT